AACTCACCGGCTCATCCCTAAAAAGCTTTATGCCTACTCTATATCTGACCTCTTTGTAAGGTAGAAAGTTATTTGGTTGCTTCCAATTATATGTCAACCTTGAAGTATGTGAGCAGGTCCATTTCATTATCAAAATGCTCTTACGCTCAGGATAATCAGAGGTCTTAAAGCGCCAACCTTTGTTTTATTAATATGGTTGGAGTAGAAATTAAGGATCGAGCCAGCATGCATTGGCCTTTTATATACATCCCTGGCTAACTGCTCATCTGCTCTGATCACCAGAACATCCAAGAAAGAGGTCAGATATAGAGTATATCTACTGCTTTTTAAGGATGAGCCGGTGAGTTTTCCTGAATCGTTAGTCTGAATTTGGTCCTGAGGTCGTCCGTCCTACGACAGACAAAATCTTAGCACCTTTTCCCCGAAATAGAAAAAGATTACCTTGGAAACAGCTTTAACAAGAATTTTGCATTAAAGTCAATCGACAGCTGGTAAAGAGGAAACCGCCTTAGTCTTCTGGTGGGATCGACTTTCGAATTTATTCACCAAACACTTTCACTCGAAATGGAAGTAAGCTCAACAAGTAGTAGCTTCGGTCGTGAAGGTGAAGATAGACCATTTTAGTTCTGAGGCTTCCGTGTCCATTTCATTTCATATAGCCTCCCGCCCCAAAAGGTATTCTCACTCAGACAGAACTTGACTGCAGTTTCGACTTCGCTTCAACTGGTCTCATCAACAACCCCAACAGAACTCGAACTTGGCTTGTGCTAGTGCAGTTGCTAGCCTCGATACGTCAACCGCCACGCCAGAATACCACGAGTGCCCTTGCGTAAGAGAGCAGAAGTGAATTTCAAAGGAGGCTAGGCCTTCGCCATATCCCATTTTGGCGTGGGATTTTAAATGACGCAAAGTTGTAATTGTGGTAGCAATCGACAACACTACTTGTTTTTCAATTATAAATAGGTTTGTGAGACTATCGCTAGATCTTATATAGGAGTTGCATTTATTGTGACAAAATTTAACTATTAGTCGTACATCACATTAAACGAAATAGGGTGACTATATTTCATATATATATATGTATATATATATAATATAATGGTAATCACAAAAACCTACTGTAACAGAAAATACAACTTTGCTTCATCGCCAAAATCACCATAAAATGTGATATGGGAAAAGATCTGGCCTTCCTTGACATTTATATTTTTATGTGACATGCGAAAAAAGATGTGAAAGCGAAGAGAGGCCGTTTTAGCTGTGCTATGTAGTGACTGATTGAGATTGCACTATGAATACATTCCAACCTTCCAGTTCTGGCAGTTATTTAATGCCCTAGTACCACCCATAAGATCATACCTTTAGTAATAAGGAAAAAAACCGAAGCAAAATGTCCTTCCTTAAGCTACATAATCTATCGATGAGAAGTAGATAATTTACCTTTGATAAAATGTTGGGATTTTTTTGGCTCCCATTTTAATAAATGATTTCATGTCAGGAATTCGGGAATGCTTCATGAAAGGGTTAATGTTGACACCTAAACTTTAACTTAAATATACCGATAATTACATTGCAATTTGTAGACATGCTAAATGTAGACTGGATGATGTATTGATCTTAATCAACCAGAAAGTTGGCAGTATTCATTTCACAATGGAAATAGAGAAAGAGGATTATTTAGTATTTTTGGATGTTTCGGTTAACAGAGCAGTGATGCATATAGACAACCAACACAATCTGGCTTTATCCTTAACTTCTCCTCCTGCCATAGTTGCAAAGCAAAGGTTGGTCTTTTCAAATCAATGAATATTCGTAGTGTAAGAATAACCGATAGAAACCATTGTGATAATGAACTTGCTAGGCTCAGGCTAATATTACCTAAGAAAAATTATCCCTTAGG